CAGGCACGAGCCACCATGCCTGGCTAATTTTTTGTATTTTTAGTAGAGACGGGGTTTCACCATGTTGACCAGGATGGTCTGTTGACCTCGTGATCCACCCGCCTCGGCCTCCCAAAGTGCTGGGATTATAGGCTTGAGCCACCGCGCCCGGCCCCTTCAACCTCTTTTATAAGGTCACTAATCCCACGCATGAGGGCTCCATCCTCATGACTTAATCACCTCCTAAAGGTCCCACCTCTTAGTACTATCACATTGGCGATTAAGTTTCAACAAATGAATTCTGGGGGACACATTCAGACCACAGTACCACCCATCCAGGAAGTGTTTTCCTTTCCTTTCCCCCCCATTCCCACAGTGCTCCTGCCCAGTGGGTGCCTCCCACCCCCACCCACTGTGGGCATGACTCTCTCTAGACCTTCCCAGTGTCAGACAGGTCCTCGTAGCCCCATGTCTGACCTTTCACATCGATCCTAGCAGCCTAGATGGATAATCAGCTTCTCACACTTGTGAGTGGTCACTCCAGCTCTGTCTCACAAAGCCCTCTCCCCTACAATCCATAACGCTGCTGGACATCTCACTGTTACAGGATGTTGACAGTCTTCTGGGGCTGTACTTGGGCCACACTGAAGGTTTACTTGATTAAATTTAAATGAACAAGAGGAACCAATATATAGTGAACATCTAATCTAGGTCAGAATTTCTACAAGTTCACTCACAACCCTCTGAAGTTGGTATAACCCTGTTAACAACAAAAGTAGCTAGTATTTACTACTGACTACTACTATATTCTAGGCATTAAGCTGAATGATCTGTAGATGAAGAAATAGGCTCAGAAAGGATAAGCAATTGGTAACTTTTCCAGTGGCACGTAATCAGAGAGTGGCAACGCTGACATTCAAAACGGTCTGGCTGACCCTTTGGAAAATGCTTCTGGTGGGCCTCCCTGCATCTTCCCTTTCTCACTGACCCCAATGCTGTAAACTGTGGCTGCCTCCTGATGCAAATGCTATAAGCTCTTTCCCTCTGGACTTTCTCTTGCATCTGGCACATTCTTCTATAAGGTCCCTGAGAGCAGCAGAGACTTTACAGGTCCCATTCATCTCTCTGCCTCCCTCTTTTGCTCTTCTGTGCACTCTAATCCAAAGAGCAGTAGAGGTAGGTCCAGTGAAAGGTACTTCAAACATTCTTATTGTTTCGTTAATGACCACTTTGATGCTCACAAAAAACATGCCTTCTTAGTAGTGTTGAGCATAGACCATTCCATTTTATAGATGAGCAAGTTGAGGTCCAGAAAAACAGCAACAGCAAACACTGGCTGGTTGTATAACCAGAAAGTGGTAGATGTCCCTGGGTGCTCATCTGTTTGCAGTGCAGCCTGGCCTGGCACTTGCAGACAGAGCAATAGGCTGCAGTGACAGAAACTCGTGGCCTTGCCCTGGCAAGGGCTCCTTCCCACGAGGGATAGTGGAACCCACTCCCTGTAAGCCTGTGGCCAGGTCAGCTATAAAGACCAGAGCAGCTTCCTAGTGGCCAGAAGGCAGCCCTGGGAGGGAGGAAGGAGCAGACCGGTGCAGTCACTCCAAGGCCCTGTCTGAGAGGACTACTGTGCCTCCTGTCTGGCTTTCCTTGCCACAGTCCATATGGGGACTGTGCTGGGGATGGCTGGACAGTTGCTACGTGTCACCCACTCTTTCTCACTTCCCAGCAGGGCCCAGGAAATGTGAGAGGCACTGCAATTGATGGGACTTGAAGATTGATTCATTTCTCTCTCCTTCCTCCCTGGGCCATCTCACCTACTCCCATGGTTTTAATAGCATCCATACCAGTGGTTTTCAGCCCTCGCTGCATGCTAGAATCACCTGGGGAGCTTTTAAAAACATGCCCATGCCAGACCCCCATCCCAGACATGATAAACTCAGAGTCTCTGGAGTAGGGCCAAGGTTCTTCTGTGCAGTCAGAGTTGAGAACCACAGATTAATTCACCCTCTGATTGCACTCTCTTCTAAGTCCCATTGCTCTTCTGAGAGCCTTGCCTGCTCCCTTGACATTTCTCTGTGTTCTCCTTAAGGTACCTCAAACTTAACTTGCCCAAGTCAAGTTCATAATCTCTACTACCACTGCCTCACTCCATCTCAAAGCCTGTTTCTCTGTCCAGGACTCTCTGTGTCAGTGAACATGACCACCATACATCCAGTGGTGTAAGCCAGGGACCTTAGGGCCAGCCAGCCTTCCCTCTCTTTTCCATCATCTTCATGTGTAATCCACCACTGTGTGAATATTTGATTCAGCAGCTGTAGCAGAGACCCAAAATAGTAGTCCCCTAACAAAATAGAAATTGCTTTCTTCCTCACATAAAAGTGTGAGTAGGCAATTCAGAGCTGGCATGCCAGTTCCGTAATCACGGGTTTGGGCAACGGTGGCATTGGGTGGGTGGAGTGGGGTAGGGGTTGGGGGGCTCCTGCTAAACCACATGGCTTTTCTCTCCTTACAAAGCAGGTTTCTCCTTTTGCCCAAGATTGTTGCCCTAGTTCCCACAATCACATCACCATTCCCGCCAGTGGGCAGGGGAAGGGGATGCCATATCCCTCCCTTCAGTGGCATAAACTGGATGTTGTTCCTATCACTCCTGCTCACACCCTGCTGCACTGAATTTAGTCACACTTCACACCTGGCTGCAAGGGAATCTGGGAACTGTAGTCCCGCTGGTTTTATCTCCTATGGTGGTCTCCAATTCCTCCATCTCTCTCCAGCTCTCCCACCATTCCATTAGTCCAAACCATAATCTTTTACCTTGTCTACTAGCAACAAGCTTCCTAATTGATTTCCCTGCACCCTTCAACCCAGTTTTTCCCCTGCAACTTGGGTGATATATTAAAAATGCAAATGAGGCTTCATCAGGTGTTCACAAGCTTCCCACTACTCTGAGGTAAAGCCCTAGGCTTTGATGCACCCTCAAGGTCTGACCTGGCCCTCTGGCCTCAAATCCAGCCCCTCTCCTTTGCTGTCTGTCCTCCAGCCATGCTGGTCTGAGTCCAGTGTGTTGAGTGTCTGGTGCCTCCCTCTACTCGTGGCTTTGCTCTTGTTTCTTTCTCTGCTGCAGTATTCCCACCCCCTCTGTCCTCAGCCGACTCCCAGCTCCCTTCATTTGTTCTTCAGATCTAAGATAAACTGACTGTTTCTCTGGGAAGCCTCCCTGACCCCTGGGTGAGCTGTAACCCCTTGTTACATAGGCTTATGGCATCCTATTCTTTATTTCAGTATCACAGGTTGTATTACATTATTTGTGTAATTATTGTTTCAAGTCTGTGTTCCACATCTGACTATAAGCTTCAGAAGGGCAGGGACCATTGCCACCTCAGTGGTTGGCATTGTGCCACTGGTTGCTGGTTGCTCAGGTGAATCATGGGGGCTAGAAAGTGTGAAGAATGACTCCCAGGTTTCCAGCTTACCCAGGAGATGCATGTGGTACCATCTGTGGAGACGGGACATGGTGGGGAGGGGGCAGATCCTGTGCCAGTGTTGGAAAGACTGGTCTGGATGTGTGTATGAAGCCATTGGGGTCAATAGGCTACTGGACATATGGCTCTGGACCTCTGGGGAGATGTCCTATTTGAACCAACTGACATTGGATTCTTGATCTTGATAACCCAGGTCATCAAGGGTCAAGGCTGCTAAGAGGACAGCCATTCAGAAGATTCTGGTGTGCGTCCAACTTTAGACAGGAGGAATCTGGGAACTGGGAACTACTCCAATTCTCCTTACTGAATTCTAATCTGGAAAGGTCCTGTTCTGGGCCCTTCACATGGTCAAGGAAATCAAGATTCTGAGTAGCCAGCACAGTGAGCACGGGATGGCTGGATCTGCGCTCCCCCTCCTGTGTAACATTGCACACTTCTCACTGTAAGTTCAAATCCATGAGCAGTCTAGCTCAGCAAACACTCACGGAATGTCCACTGAATGCCAGGCCTGTGGGATGCATGATGATGGGTGTGGGAGTTTCAGAGTAGTGGCAGTAGTGATAGCTACTGTTTATAAAGTAGACTAGAGCCAAGCACCGTCTTAGGCATTATAACATTTAAACACACTGAATCTTCACAGCAACCCTAAGTACCACTGTTCTTCACATTTTACAGCTGGGTAAACTGAGGCAACAAAAAATTAAAAACAAGATCACAACTAGTGAGTGGCAAGAAATAAGAATAAAGACTATAGTCCCTTTGCTAAAAAGTTTAGAGACATGGGGCTGTCTTCTTGGATTCTCTGTAAACAGGGAGAATAACTATTGTCACTCCTATTGGACAGACAGGGAAACTGAGGTCCATAAAGGGGTTTCTGGTAAATATAACGCTTAGCTGCACACATTTTCATTGCTTTTCTTTTGTCCTTCCCATCTTGTACATGTTAAGACTCATCAAGCATTCCTTGGAAGGGACTAAACTAATTTTAAGACAACAGGTAGCTGACGGCCTGGCTGCAAGTCAGTGAATGGTGAACCACTTCCAAGGATAACTTTCAGCAATCTGATGGAGTTCACAGAGCCTGGTGGTTTAAAAGGTCCTTTACAGAATTTGACCCTGTGAGATAGATAGTATCATCTTTGGGTTACCAATGAGAAAGTGGAGACTCTGAGAAGTTAAGTGACTTGCCAGGATCCTAAGGCTGGCTGGTAGGTAGTGGAAGGGACAGACACATGAACACAGATATCTAGATTTCCAGCCTAGAGCTGTCTGCCACCCCTTCTTATTGTTTCTGTCTGTATCAGCTCCTCCTGGTAGGTGTCCAGATTTATTCCCATCTATCTTTCATTTTCCTGGTGGCACATTCTCCTTTTTCCTCACCCCACATAGTGCCCATTCTTTAGTGCCCTGACTGTGCTAAATTTTAATTGCCATATGGATGAATCAGTGAATTTGTGCTAAAATGTTAATGACTAATAATGGCTCAAGGTATTCACTCTCCAGAGGGTTTTTCTATTTTTCTTTTTTTGAAGAAAAATTTGCATTGTTTTAATTATTTTTGTTTACAGAAAACTCAACAGTGTACATTTAACCCAGTTTTGTGGCAAGTTCTTTAGCCTTTGCCTTTTCGAGCTTGGCGATGTGAGCCACAGACTTGGGACCCAGGACATTGCCTCCCCAGTGACAGTGGATCTCATCATATCTGTCATTGTAATTGGTGCAGATAGCTTCCACCAGCTTAGCCAAAGCACCTTTGTCTTCTGAGTTAACCTGTGTGAAGGCGACAGTGGTGCAGGTCTCTTCCTGTGGTCTAGATGTCCCAGTCTTGCTTTCCCCTTGATATTGCAGTAAGGGACTCCCATTTTACGACACGGCAGGCAAGACGACAGCCAGCTCAATGGGATCCATGTCGTGTGCAGTCACCACCAGCTGAGCTTTCTTGTTCTCCACTAAGGTGGTGACGGTGTTAACTCCTGCCTGAAGGACAGGTGGTCTCTTAGTGGGGACGTCCCCTTTGCCAGCCGCTTTTTTCTCGGCCCAGGCCAACAGCCTCTGCTTCTTCTCTTGCTTTGTCTCTGGTCTACACTTGTGGGCCAGCTTAAGCAGCTGAGTAGCTGTTTGGCCGTTCAGGGCCTGGGTGAACTGGTTAATTGCAGGGGGCACTTTCAGCCACTTATAGAGGATGGCTCTCTGCCGCTGCAACCTGATATAGTGGGGCCATTTCACAAAGTGGGTGAGGTCTCTTTTGGGCTGGGTGTCCTGTTCAATGCCAAAATTCTTAGGCATTTTCTCAAACAGGGGATTCACCACTTTCTTGGCCTCCTGCTTCTTCACAACAGCGGGGGCCAGAGCCACCTTCTTCCCCTTGGCCTTCTTACCTTTCGGCATCTTGTGTGGCGGGAAGAGAGAGAGCTCTATTTTTCTTCTTTATAAAAAACATGGTAAAAAACAACAAAAACTTCTTGTAGGGGTCCTGCCCTTGGAGTTTTCAAAAATGGTTCCCATTCATTTGTCTTATTTTCTTCTCAGATCCAGACCTGTCCTTTTCTATCTATGGCCACTGCTCACCCTTTCAACATCTGTCCTCTGGACTGTTTCAGTCGGTTCCCAGCTGATCTCCCTGCCTCCAGTATATCCTCCAATCCTGCAGCCCAAGTGATCCTGCTTAACATTCCTTGCTCTAAGCTCTTCTCTGGATTTGCATCCTCCAAGAATAAATTCAATCTCTTGGGATGGCATTCATGGCCATAACTTGGTCCTGCTCACCTTCCAACTGCTTATCACACCATGCTTCTTCGAGCACCTTATTCCCCAAAGTCTAGTGTTCTTCCTACACCTCACTCTGGGATGTGTCTCTGTGCAGTCAGCTCCCCATCCCTGAGTCACCCAATTTCATGGGAAACTTTCCAAGATCTCCAAAGAGTATTTCAGGTTTCTTTTATTTGATTGAGGTGACAGGAAGATTCCCTTCCTACCTGCCTTTCTTGGATGCCCCCAAAGGTATCCTCAGAGATTTTCACTTTCTAAAGTCCTCACTTTCTGTTACCTGCATGTGGTGGTGGTGGGGGGTGTAGGATAATGTTGGCTAAACGGGTTTGAGGCCATTCTCTTTGCAAGTCTTGCATGGACAATCTCTCAAAATAGTTCTCAAAGGGGTAAAGAGTGGGAAATGCTGGAAATGTGTGGGGGTGTTTTGAATGTCACAGTGACGGGGCAATGCCACTAGTATTTAGAACCAGGGTGAAGATGAAGGGTCTTGAATGCTAACCATGTAGGATGCTAAATGGTTTGTGTGGCAAAGGGCAGCCTACTAATAAAGAAGTGTCCTGACTGACACACCTATGGTGCTACCCTCCTTGAGAAATGAACATGGGGTCAGGTGGCAGAAGTATCAGGAAGGAGTGGGGAATTGGAGCTCTGAGAGGGTCCATCCATCCTTCCCTCAGAACTCCCTTGAACTTCTGGGAGTGAGCAGGTATATTAGACTGAGTGTCTAATGGGGAAGCCTTCAGCTCTGCTGTGCAGCCATACTGATGGGTAGAAGGTAACTGTTCCTCCAACTTGGAGATGCTAAAAGGAGATTTGTTTTTTGGATTGTTATGAAATTCCTCGTAAAAAGTTCCAGGCTCATGAAAGAAAAACAACGAGAGAAAAGAAAAGTTGAAAGACCCACATGGGTATGTGGCTGCTGCAGGGTTTAGGAACATTCACCTATAGCTCTATCTCCATTTGTTATCATCATCAGAGTCTGCATCTCCACCTCCAGGACCACTCACCCATCACCACAATCAACATCACCTCCAAAATTGCCGACTCCATCTGCAAAACACCGTTCCCTGTGTCTTGACCCTGGGTCAAGTTAACTGCCTGGTCCACCAATCTTCTTCCAGATACTCTTTCACATATTGGGGTAAGCTCAGGGTGCCGCTTTGGAACAGAACTGTTCCTGGAGCAGGTTTTCCTTCATCAGGAAGGGGATGAGTCAGCTTGCTACGGGCTTTGACAGGGACTACAGCTCAAGTCTTTGTAGCTGTAGGTTTCCATAAGCCAGTGTGTCTAGGGGGCTCCATTTGACCATTTTAAGGAAGTCCACTGGCCTTTCAAATTTTTTAAGATGAATTCTGTTTTCGGAGACCTGTGGGTTCATCTCAGCATCATTTAGAGGAATCTGTAGTTGGGATCAGGGCTCTGTCTTGAGTTAGGGTTAGAGGTCAGTCTTTGGCCAGAGCAGGAACTTGTTCTGAGACTGGGATTAGAGGCCAAACTGAGATGGAGTCAGGGTCAAGTGTCTGACCTGGGCCAAAGCTCTGGCTGGGGTTGAGTTAGTACTTTGGGTAGAAATAGCATCAAGGTCATTAGTTGAACCTCTGTAATATGTCAAAAATTTCTCACAAAGTACCCCCATTTTATCCTGGGTCAATCTATTTCCTTGAGGGATTCCTCCACTCTTCAAATCCTTAAGTTTGCTGGGGCTCAAGGTACAACCACATTCCTGCTCTTAATTAGGGACTTCAGAACAAGGTAGAAAACCTTCTGACTCCAAAGCCGTCTGCTGCCTGAGCTCACAATTTGAGGAGGAGAGGGCATAGCCAAGGCCTGATGCCTGCCAGCCCAGGCAGCTGGATGAGCAGCTGTAATGGGATTAGGGCTGGCCATGCCCGCCTCCCTGTGTGCTGCCCAAAGCCCTCCCTCCTTTCCTCCCCCAGGACTGATCAGGATTCAGTCCTTGGCTCTACCTACCCCAGCCAGGCCAGCTCCATTGTGCTCTCCTTCCATGGTGCTGGTGCCTAGCAACACTCACGGGGATCTCTTTTCCCACCGCCATCCTGGCCCCTCACCCTGCCCCTCGGCTCTGAGCACACACAAGCACCGCTTGCCTTTTTATCACTGCAAAATGAGCCAGTGAAAGGAAGCCAGCTGTTTTCGCCAGATTCTCCCAATGATCCAATAACAAACCTCTCTTCTGAAATTCTGGGCTTCCTTTTCAAGATTCCTAGGCCCTACTACCAGAAATTCTCGGATTACATTTGAAGACTGCAGAGTTTCAATCTGGAATTCTCAAGTCCTGGAGTCCATTCTATGACTCTGTGAATTCTAGAATCCCAGGACTTTGTGATGGGGGTCTCAGACCATTTAACTATATTCTAGAATTGAGTTATTGTATTTCAGGGGAGTCTGTGATTCCAAAAATGGACTCTGTGGTAATGAATCAGGGTGAGAGGGGTTAATGATGGGGACATGGAAGATGCATTTTAATTCTCTTTAAATGGCAGTTTCTGAGAGTGAAGAGTAGCATGAACCTGCTATCTGGAGAGCGGGAAGGTGGGATTCATTCACCGACTCAATAAACACTATTAGATGCTCGAAGCATGGGGGACAGAGCAATGAGCAAAGAAGGGCCCTGCCCTCAAGCAGCTCACATTCACTTAGGGAACACAGATCTGAAACAAATAGTGTGCAACTTGTCAGATAAGTTCTTTGAAGAATTAGAGCAAACAATGAATAATTGATACTATATTGTACTTATTCTGTGCTAGGCACTGTTCTAAATGCTTTACATGTATTCACTTACTTAAATCTTAGACTAACATTTAAAGGTAGATGCGATGGTTCAATCACACTGAATAGATGAAGGAACCAAAGCACAGCAGGTTAAGTAACTTGTCCAAATGGCAAAGCTAGGATTTAAACCCAATAGTCTAGCTTCAAAATCTGTGGCAACCACTGGGTCCTAATGCAGGGTTGAGGGGTGGGAAGTGATGGAAGGCGTAGCTTACACAGGGTGGGCAAGAACATTCGAATAGAGACTTAAAGAAAGTGAGGGGGTGATGTATGTGGATATCTGGAGAAGAGAGGTGGGGCAGACGTGTCCCTCAGGGATTGAACCAGGTTCCCTCTTCCAATAAGGTGAACCAGGGTTCTCTGTGCTGTGGGGCTGGAGGAAGGCTTTCCATGGGGACCTGGTGGGAGGGGCAGGCTCAGAGAGATGCTTATTGCTGTGGGTGTACAAAGACCCCTTTGCCTGCTCCAGTCAGATTCCTGTGTGTTCTTTCCTCCCTGGCCACTGTGGATGGATCTCTTCTTCAACAGATAAGTGTCCTCCGAACACAAAGAGCTGGAAGAGAGAAGCCCTCCTGGCAGGACTAATCAGGCAGGCTAATTATGAGTAATTAGAAACACCTCTCTCCCCTGTTGGCAGCCCTGTCCCAGTGTGAAACAGAGTGAGGACTTAATTCCTTTGGGAAGGAAGTGGGGCTGGGCAGAGGCACGGGAGGGAGGATGCATCCAGCAACCCCTGGCTCTCCCTGCACGCCCAGCCTTCTGACCCTGCACTCAGTCTGTCCTGCCTGTGGACACAGACAATGGCACATAGAGAAGGGAGCATCTGGGACATCAGGGTGGAGCCAAGAGAGTCAGCAGCATCTCTGAATGAGCTGTTTCACCTCTCTGAGACTGGGTTTCTTTATCTGTAAACCTGGGATAATCATAATTCCTAATCACAGCTTTACAATGATCTGAGCAGACAAGCAAGCAAGAAAGCCAAGCATAGGGCCTCAGCAAACTGTAGTGCTTCTCATTTTGTTTTGTCATATGTGGCTTTGGATGACTCAAAACAGGTCTTTTCCTTCTCCAGGCCTCAGTTTCCCCATCAACTATGGAGGTAGGGGCTGGTTACTCACTAATTCAATCAATAAACATTTTCTGCGCAGTGACTTTATGCCCAGTGCTGGAGGTGGAACAAGAGTGACATGGGCTCTCACATTCCAGGGAGCTCCTTAGGGAACTTGGTCAATGGGTTTCCCCCAGCTGTCACATTCCAGGCTCTAGAAGGTGGGGACTGTAGTAGGCTGGCTTCTAAGGTCCCCAAGGATCCTGCCCCCTAGAATACAAGCCCGTACAAGCCCTTCCTCTTGACTGTGGGCAGGACCTATAGATAAGATGGGGTTTTGATCTCCTGATCAGGCCATCATGTGGCAGAGGGAAAGGGATTCTGTGGATGTTATTAAAAGCTGTAATGAGTTGTCTTCAAGTTTATCCAAAAAGTTAAGATCCTGAGAGGACCTGTGCTAATTACATGATCCCATTAGAAGAGGGCCTAGAAATCCAGGCTGGAGAGGCAGTGGAGTCTCTCTCCCATGGCCTTGACGAACCACACTGCCATGAGTGGAGAGAACCACATGGCAGCAAATGGTGGGTGCCCTCTAGAAGCTTGGGGCCTTAAGTCCTACAACCACTAGGAACAGAATTCCACTAAAAGCCTTGGGAGGACACCCCGAGCCTCAGATGAGACCCCATGCTTCACTCACTTTGACTGTAGCATTATAAGACTTTGAGCAGGGGACCCTGACCTGTGGGAACAGTGAGATAAACAATGTATGCTGGTTTCAGCCACTATGTTTGCTGTAACTTGCTAGAAGACCCTTGAATGTATGCAAGGCCTTGAGCCAGTCCCATCCTGCCAGCTCATACTAACCTGCCCAGCCCAACTGGGGTCTAGAACCCTGGGTGCATCAGTGAATTTCTCGCAGACAGTCCTCCCATCACCCATCGCAAAAGATTGTTTCATCAGCTGCCAATCAGTTGGTCATCAAAGATTGTTCTATTTGCCCTACTTTTAATATAATTATCAGCATCATTTGCATGATACTGAGTCATGGCTCAGGCTGTCACAGGCCCTATAGTATCCTGAGCTGCTTTTCTGGGAAAGGCTGTGTTCCCTGCCTCATGCAGGCTGCTTCCTCCCACACAAATTATCTGTAATTTCCACACCTCCGTGCTTGCTGTGGCCCTATGTTGAAGCCAGGACTTGTGTGGGGCTGGAGCACAATGTTATTTTCAAAGCAGTCAAGCCAGGCTCCAGGAAGCTTCACGAACAGCAGGCGGGACCTAGCTTTGACTGTGGCACCTGTAAGCGGGGACAGGCAGAGGGGGTGCAGGTGTTTATCCCAAGAGTAGCTAGACTCAGACCACTGAGGACAGCAAATATGCAGAGGGCAGGACATGAGCAGTGTGGCTCCTGAACACAGATGATATGGCCTATTTGCAGGATATTCATGAGGGTCCCTTCTGTAGCCAAAGAATACTATGCACGAATGCCAGGATGTGCAGAAGGTGGAGGAGAGGATGGTGGCAGAGATAAGAAAAGAAAGTCCTGTGGATAGAGCTTTGGAGGTGAGACTGGAAATGTTTCATTCTCCTTCAACCAGGAGCCCTGGAGAAGACTCAGCTTCCACGAGTAAACAGCCGAGTCTCTGGGAGGAGACTATAGCAGGTGAATGGGAAGCGTCACTCACTGTCTGACAAGAATTTCCTGACAGTGATGGAGCTATGCCTATGCAGACAGGCCCGCTGCCTGCCTGAGAGTCTGCAGGAGAGGGAGCATCTCTATCTCGGTAGAGAAGATGTACTTTGCTATTCCAGATCTGTGGAGAGCATGGGTGCGTGCGCGTGTGTGTACACACGTGCATGTACACAGACACACACACACACACATGCCTGGGCATCTGAGTGCATGCACATACTTGGACTCTGAATGCACCTCTGGGCATACATATTAAATGGAAATCTACATGTGTATGTGTGCGCAGTGTACTCAGGTGTAGCAGTAAGTACGTGTATTTGAGTATATGCTCGTTTGGGTATGAGGGTGCATTTGGATATTTATGTACACGGAGGACAGAGACTAAGGGCATTTGACTCTTCACATGTGTATCTTGCCATTGCTCCAAGCTTCAAGAAATTACTTCCACCATCCCCACCCCCAACACATCCACACTTTCCAACCCTGTAGAGGTGTGTCTTCACTTCTAAGGTCATGATTCTGGGGATAGAGCACAGGACTGGCGTGCTGGCTCCGCTCTGCCACTAGCTAGCCCCATAACAGAACAAATCATTTCTGTTTCTTGACTCTCATTTTCTTCATCTGTGAAAGGTGGTGCTAAATGGTCAAGTCTGCACTTAGCATTTAGGGTCCAAGCAAGTCCTTTGTCCCCTTGTCCCACCTGCCCCCACTCTCAACAGCCCTTCTCCCCTTGCTCATCCTCACTCATTGCTGTGCCCTCTGGTGGGTGGGGGACACAGACGACTCAGGGCTAATCTTTGAGGAGCTCCCAGGCATCTCCGAACATGGGTATCCCTTCCTCCTTCACTCCAGGCTTTTTTTGTGAGGCAGCTTCAAGGATTTCTAGAGCTCTTGGAACACAATTTGACAATCATGGATCTAGGCAACCTAACCTTCATTCCCTTGGTCTCTCAGAGGATCCCAAGGGTCCCTGAGATCAGGGTCCAAGGCTCTAGATGGCATTGGTTCATCTGATGAGGATGCTACCTCCTGGCTACTCTATGACACAGCAGGGGACAGGAGTGCACTTAACTTTCGGGGACCTGCTTCTGGGGTGCGTGGCCTCCCAGGGGAACTTGGTCCTGTCACTGGAATGTCTCTGCAGCCTGTGTATTCAGGGACAAAAGGCCTTAGTGGGGCAATGGGCATGGATTACCTACTTTAGCGGGGGGCTAAGCTTTCCAAAGCCTGTCTGCTGCTTGCTCTAATCTGTCTCTAACACTTCCAGGATTTCCAGGGAGCAGTCCCTGAGGCACCTGGGGCTTCTCGGAGTCTCTCTGGCCATCTGACCAGAGTGCAGATAAAGGAGACCAGAGGGCATCTGAATGAAGCTTTCCCACAGACAGAAACACTATTTCACAGTCTGGCATTCAAGGCTCTCACCATCCCCAAACAGGAATTAAATGGGCCAATGCACAAATGACAGTTACTTCCCAGCCTTTCCATACCCTGCTGCCGGTAGAAAATGAAAACATTTGTATGTCTCCCGAGGAAAATGGAAAAGGCTGCTTATGGCTGCCCAGGGGGCTGAGGGACCAGCATCTCAGCATACTTCTAACCTGTTCTGGAGATATGAGTGTGCTACCTTGGGATGCTTGCCCGCAAAGCATTAGCAGAGGGCTGAAGACAGGGGTTCTTAACCGTGGCTGCACATTAGCATGCTCTGGGGAGTTGTAAAAAATTCTTTGGCCCAGGCCTCATGATAGACCAATTGTCTAATTATCTTGGGTGGTGAGGCCTTGATGTAGGTATTTTTAAAAAACTCCCCAGGGGGAGTCTGCAGCACCCAGAGGGTTGAGAAGCATTGGCACAAGACGTGGTGAGCATTCGGTCGATGTCAGCTATCTGCTATAAAGAACCTGTGTCCTTGTGTGTGCTGTTCTCGCCTGAGCAGTGTAAAAGCTGAAGTGGGGTGGGGTGGGGGCCCTGTAGTCAGGGAGGAAACTGCTGCTCAGGAGAGATGAATGCTGGGTAGGGTGGCCTGGTATCCATCTCCCTCAGCCACGTCTCAGAAAATTGAATTAAAACCCTTATTTTTCAGCTGCTGCCTGCCTGGCTGGCTGGCTTGTGGAAGGGAGTGAGGCAGTGAGCACCTCAAGGCAGGGAAAAAGCTGGTGAGGGGGCCCCCAGCCTCCCTCCCTAGGAGAGAGAAGGCAGCTCAGGGGGTCCTCAGAGAGAAAACCCTTCCCAGGGGTGGTCCCTTGCCTCCAGTCTTCCCAAAGGCAGGCAGGTAGGGGTAGGGTGGGAGTGGTAGGCTGGCTGGCTTAGAAGGTCAGGGCTAGATCTTGAGGTAAAGTTGATTATTTGGGTGAGTGTGTGGGGAGGCAGAGAAGAGGGAGACCTTGGCCATGTCCTTGGGGAGGCTTAGACTCGGGGAACAGAACTGGCATATCTCCTCCTCCAAGACCATTTGGAGAGACCACAGTGGCATGCCTGAGACAGGTGGAGAACAGTGTGGGCTGAGAGAACCTGGCCTGATTTCCATAATTAAGGGGGTGGGGAGAGCTCACAAGGTAGAACACTTCTAAGCTGGGCACCAGGATAAGATCTCTGATAAGAAAGTTGCCTGTGTCTCCTCGGGCTAGTCTTGTTGCCCCTCTGGAATAAGGCACCCCACCCATAGAGAAGGGGACTAGACAACCCTCCTGGATCCCAGCTCTGATATTTGTTCCAGGCTGATGCTACTGGGGGAAGTGGGATTAGAATCTAAGTCTACAAGTGCTGCTAGCCCACATGGCAACTTTGAGAGGGTTAGAGAGGTGTCACCTCCAGGTGGATCTACCAGAAAAAAAGTGCCTCTTTTTGAGTAGATGGGGGAATGACTGGTTTGGTGGGTAGTGGGCAGAGTAGGATCTCGATTTCCAGCCCCACTGGCCCCTTCCAGGGGATCTGGAACCCACAGTGGAAACTGGAGAAACAAGAGAATGAAAAGGGAAAAAATCTGGAAGTCAACCCTGAACTTTAGAGTGGAGTGGGAGGCGCTGTATCTGGAAGACTGGCCATACCCATTCCCAGGACAGGCTGCTCTACCATAGGTGACCTCGATCTCCACCCTTCCTCTCACTCCCAGGCCCTCTACACCCTGCACTCTGAATCTCTCTTGACTCTAAGGCTCCTGGCAGCCTTCCTTCCCTCACACTTAGTTTCACAGCTTACAGAGAGCTTTTACACACAGCCTCTCATTTGATCTTCACAACACCAGAGCTGTACGCAGATGAAGAAAGTGGCTCTTAAGGGTTAGGGCAACGAGCTAAGAAGGGGTTAGCCAGGATTAGAGGGAGGTCTCCTGTGTGTCTGATTTTAGCACAGTACCTGGCCCTCTTCTCTCCATTCTTTCTTGATGTAGGCAAGACAGATATTCTCCACCAGGAAGCTTTCCTGTACTGAACGGAATATCAGCCAATCAGACTACCAGTGTGTTGTGCCAATGGGGATCAGTGGCCATTGGTCAGCAAAGAGAAACATGGACCTAGGAACCTCCACACATCTTTCTGGAACCTCTGATTGCTTCTTTCAAGTTTCCATATGGATTCCTCTCCATCCACAGGTTCTTTCTTCTTTGGTAGACTGAGGTCCCCAAAGGAAGGCTCAGAACTCTCCCTCCTCCTTCCCCCTCCTTGAGGCCTCCTCAACAAGGTGGCTATACCTGGAACTTGAGCCCAAAATGAAGCTGAGCAAGAATTTACTTGAAAGGGCAAGAAAAGAGCCTGGTTGCAGAACTGAAAAGCTCTCAGTGACGCTTGAGGCAGGGACCAAAAACTGAGAGCAGAGGCAGGCAGGAGCAGCTGGGGGCTGGGGGCTGGGGGCTGGGGTGAGCAGAGGGTAAGAAATTGCCTGGGAGTGGGTAACTAACTACTCTCAGCTAAGTTTTGGTTTCACCACCAACCCCCGCCATGCCACCTTTACCTGTGTAGTTCTTCTCATTAAGCCATTTGTACTAGGAGGAGGTTGGACAGGACTGTAATAACAGTATTAACAGTAATTCATTCAGCATCAATGAATGAATGATACCAGGGAGAAACTACTATGGGGTGAGTGCAGCATTTTTATTTATGCTGCTGTGAAGAGCCCTGGGGCCAGTACTAAGGTTCTCAATGAAGAAGCTCAAGTTCAGAGAGGCCAAGTCACTTACCCAGGCTCACAGAGCTGTCCTGCAGCAGGGACTGGAGCCAGGCAGTGTGATATTTGAAGTTGCCTCTGTCGTGTAAGCATCACCATCCATTTTCTAGTCGTTCTGAGGGAGGGGGGTCACATTTGAGTACATCCCGACAGGCACCCCAAAACTAGCTGACCCTCCCAGGCCTGGGTTGTAGGGGCAAAGAAGAGCCCAAGGAGGGTCTGAGACTTGCCTGGTAAGGAAGGCTTCCTGGAGGAGGAGGAAGACAGGCTCTGACACACAGGGAATTTTGAGGACCTAGGGAGAATAAAGACGGCTTTCTAGTCCCGACTTCGATGGGAAGAGTAGAAAGAGGGTGGTTGGCCTTGGAAGCCCACAGACGGAGGACATGGGGCTGTCGCCTCCGCCTCAGCGCCCCCCACCCCGCCACTGGGATTTCCAGCAGCTGCTCCAGCTCAGGTCTGTGCTGCGGCTGGGGTCAAGTTGAGCAGCCCCGCGCCGCGACCGCACCGCCCTCGGCCTAACCCCGCCCCCGGGCGCTCATTGGTCTGCAGCTCCCCCTCCCCAGCCTGCAAAGTGTGCAGTGGGTGGGTGGGGGGCGGAGGCGGTGGTCGGTCGGCTCTCTACAGCTCCCGGCCTGGTTGGTGGCGGAGGCGGCGTCCGCAGAACAGAGCCGGGCTGGACTGCCGCGCCACGCGGGACGGGCGAAGGGGGGCGCTGCTCTCGGCCCCGGGCGGGGACTGGCGGCGGCGGCGGCGGCGGCTGTTGCTCCGGGCGAGCGTGGTCCCCGCGTGCGTACACGCATACGCCGCTGCGCAGGAACACACGGACCCCGGCCGCCCACGGCCACACAGGCGCGGAGACCCAGCTTGGCGCGCGCTCCTCCGCACACTCGCTCCCCATCCCCGCGCGGCGCGGGCTGCGGACTCGCTGGCTGCACGTCGTTTGCGGAGTCCGCCCCGGCCCTGCCGCCAGGCCCCGCAGTGAGCAGGTAAGGGTCGCCCCGCCGCGGCTGCCCCTCCACGCCTCAGCCGTCTTCTCCCGGCTCCAGAACCTTCGCCCAGCCGGGACCTCGGATCCCCTCCTCTGGCTCGGCGGTCTCCGCCAGCCGCGACCTGCACTGACCGAGAGCTGGCGAGGCCAGCGCCGGGCAAGCCTCTCCAGATCCGAAATGAAGCCCCCTCCGCCGCTGTGCCCTTTTTGCGCGTCAGGCAGACACCCCCCAACCCAAGTGTCTGGCGCCGCGCTTGGGGCAGCCGATCGCCGCAGCCTGCCGGGGTGGGGGTCGGCCTAGATATCTTGCACCCCTTCCGATGCGGAGAAGGGAGACCAGGGGCAGCGAAGCCATGAGGCTGGAGAGACCCAGAGGGACATGTCTCCCTACCCCTAGGCGGACGGACGCGCCTACGCGGATCAGCAGGCAAGGCTGGAGGGTCTGCCGGGGTTAGGTAGCACAGTCCGAATGGGGTTTGAGGGGTGGACAAGCAATGTGCTAGGTAGGGGTTGTGGTAGGAGCCAGCGTAGAATGCCCCTCTGTGGTGACACATTCAGGATTGTTCAAAAGAGCGTCGTCTCGGTTTCCCGCGGTGCGGAGGGGCTGGGATTGGGGAAGCCAGGGCTTAGGTGGTCCCCAGAAGAAATGCCCTGCGGGGTTTGTGGGGCAACACACCGGCCTCCCCAGGCTGAAGTGGGCCTACCGAGACCCCTGCCTGCTGCCTTAAAGGCAGAGGCTTTTTAAAGCGGCAGCTGCTGGGGGCGGAGGCCACATCCTCTGTGGGACCTTGGCAGGTTAGGGGGCTCAGAAGGGACTGGGGAGCCAATGGATGCAGCTAGACCGTCAGGAGGGAGCCCAGCCGGAAGCCGATTGCATTTCACCTGGAGCTGAGGAGCAGAGCCTCACCCCTGGATGGAGCTCAGCCCCACTTTGGAAGATGCTGGGGGTGGGGTGGTGGACACCTGCTAATTCTTCCAACCATTTTTATGTTTTTGAGTGCAGGTGCGTCAGACTCCCTTTATCTTCCCCAGCCTTTCTATGAGCCACAAAGCCCCCCTGGCCCTCTCCAAAGGCACAGCGTTTGGTTCTTCCGGTGAGCAGCCCTGGGGAGGAGTTGGGGGATGGGAAGGGGCTGGATGCAGCATGTGGAGGGCAACTTGCCCTGAGACTGCAGCTGGCCAGAGGCAGGCAAGGTGTCCTGAAGGTCAGGCTAGAAGCTTTTGAGTGGCTCTAGGATTCTCAAGAAGATGGAAAACTGTGTTTGAGCCTTTGGGGGCAGGGGCAGCAGGCAGCACTCAGGTTTTCTCAGGAGACCCCAATTAAATGAGTTTGGTGCTGGGTACAAGTGGGACTGGTGGAGTCCCCAGTCCTAAGCTAAGCCCTGCTCCTCACTGACCTTGGGGAGGGCAGGCAGAGGCACCAGCATGGACACAAGCTGAAATCTGAACATACAAATTAGAGATGGAACATGCTGCGTGGGCCCTGGGCCAGATCTTCCTACCAATCCATCAACAAGTGTGTGTGGGGTGATGGTGAAGGCGGGCTGGGTCCTTTTCCTCTTTGGCCATATATGTCTGGGTGTCTGGGACAAGACCCCCAAAGCCTGTTTGCCCCCATATGCGGTGAGGGGAGGTATCTGTGAGGAGACTCTGGAAGGATCCTTCTCCTGCACTCTAAGGACTGATCTAGGCTAAGGGGCGCCGTTAAGTCCTGTTTTGTGTAAGGTTCAGGCTGGGAGGGGATTGATTGGAGAAACATTTTGGGACCCATGCTTTTTCACATGGCCACCTCTCTCTGTTGTGCATCAACTTTGGGACACTCACTCAATTGTGTTGAAGAAATAAATACACACCTGGGAGTATATGTGACTGAGAGGCTAGGAAAGCTAAGGCCACAGGGTGGCTTTTCTCCTGGGGACAGGACCTAGGCTTGAGTTTCCCAGGTTGCCGCCCTCCCGGGACAAGCATTTCATTGACCTAGGGCTGGCATCGATTAAGTGGAGGACACCTTGTGCTGTCTGCCACAGGGAAGAACCAGGGTGTGCCAAGTGCAGAGCTAGAGTTTAGCTCGGTGCCAGGAAGGCCTTGCTTTCCTGAGACCCACCCACCTTGGGGCAGACACTGGAGGTGACAGTGAGTTTCCTGTCCTGGACAGATTTGTAAGCAGAGGTCTGATGCCCCAAACAAGGGCGGCTAAGTGGCTTTCCACCCCAGAAGGCCTAGGGGTCTTGGAGACCCTCAGCCACCCCTGAAGAGAGGAATCTAAGATTCCAGGGTCTGAATGGTTTGGGCTTAGCGGTCCAGCTGCCTGGCAAGATTGAGATTGGAGACTCCTCAGCTGCAACGTGTTTGTACCGAGCTCTGGATGCCGTCAGAGGCAAATGGTGGCAGCCACTCCCACGGTGACACACAGAGAGGGAGTGACACACAGCTGGGGAAGCATATAGGCTTTCTATGACACCTGCCAGAGAGCGGGAGCACAATAGTGACAAGCAACACCAGAAAGACAAGCAGACATTGAGACATACCCTCTCACACAGATCTGGGCACACCCAGGGACTCAGAGATATTTGTCCAAAGAAGATCACAAAATTCGTCATTAATCAATGTCCAGCTGCATATTGAACTGAGGAAAGTGTGTAAGTGTGTGTGTGTGTGTGTGTGTATGTATATTGCATGAGCCTAGAACAAGGGTAGGCAGCCTTTTTCTGTTTAGTGCCAGATAGCAATTATTTTAGGCCTTGTGTTCATACAGTGTTGCAACTACTTAATTCTACTGTGTAGTCTAATGCAGCCTTAGATGATATGTAAACAGCCTTATATTCTAATAAACTTTATTTATGGACACTGAAATTTGAATTTTATACATTTTGCCTGTGTCATCAAATATGATTCTTTTAATTCTTTCCAATCATTTAGAAATGTAAAAACTGTTCTTGGCTCACTGGCCGTACAAAAATAGGCTATAGCCTGGATCTGACGGGCTGGAAGGGGTTGCCAGCTCCTGGGTTGTAAGGTTAGGAAAGAGAAATGGTCAGAGAGGTTGACGAAGGGAGGGGCTTAGTGTTGAAATAGCCAGAAATGCCCAATTGCACCTTGGATGCTTCGCCTCATTCTAGGAGCCCTGAATGCCCATCTGTTTAATGGGTCAGGCCCAGGAGAGGCTCCCTGCCTGGCTTCAGCACCCTACTTCAGATTGTCCTCTTCTTTGTCCCCGAGATCAATTTCCCCCACTCTAAAAACTGAAGACAACATTAAAGACTGAAAAGCTGACTGCTGTCACTTGAGCTTGCCAAACAGTTCCTGAGCCCCCTTTACCATTCACCCTTTGTGTCCAAGTCTGTGCCCATCCCCATGGGTGGGGAAGCCACATGGAAAACTGGGCATACCCCTTGTTTCTAGATAAAACTTGAAACTCACAATGAACACAAGGAGACCTGAAACAGCTCAGAGGAGAGGTGTTCCTCATCTCAGGGTTGAGGCTTCTCAGTGGAGGGCCAGGTCACAAAGGGCAGGTGCTGCCTGAGTAGGCTTCTTGGAGGACGTTGGGGTTTGGATTGGGCACTCTCATCCCAGCTCTCCGCAGACTCCATGTATTGCCTTAGCTGCCCTCATCTTTCCCTCCTGATCAATGGGCAATGCAGAGGGGTGGCTGAGACAAATATATACAGATAGATAATAGCTCCTTCCTAGGCACCGCTGAACTTCTCAGCTGCTGATCTAAGGCTTGCATAGTGAACTACACCTTGCCTTCTGTTTCTTGCTTTCTGTACTGCCTCCTCCTGATATTTTCTTCCTGTCACCTGTGAGGAGGTGGGCCAAGGAGACACTCCTCTCTCATTTTTCCAAGTCTCTGGGTTCTGTCCCCCACTTTCCACCCCAACTGCCTTCTTGCTCACCTTAGTCCCCCATCACCTCTAGCCTAGATCCAGAAAAGGGCCTCAGGGTACATTTCTGCCTACGTTTTTTCCCCTTCGTCTCTGCTCCCCAGCCTTTGAAGGGATATTTTCTAAATGGAAAGCTCATTATTGCACTCCTTTGCTCACAACTCTTCATTGGTTTTAACTCTTCTGTTGGGTGGAACAACTCCCCAGCTTCCACGGACTGGCACCAGCCCTCCACCCTCTCTCTCCTCTACCTCATCACCTCATGATGTCTTCTTGTGCTCCTTGACACCCTGGAATCACCTTCTCAAACTCATCCAGGGGCACTTGCCCAAGTTTTCTGGGCACTCATGTGTCTTGCCTGTGCCAGGTGCTGTGGGCACACACACATCAGAGCTGGGCTCATGCTAACTTAGGAGAGGCTGCAGCTTACCCAGGGTCTGCACAAAGGGAGAGGCTGTCAGTGCAGAGATACTCCTCCCCAAGCCACACACCTTGCCTGGTGAGTGCTCAATGAACATTGTCTACAAGCTTGTGCCTCCCTCTGGCCAGGCTTCCTGTTCCCCTCCTCCCCTCCCTCTACCTCTCATCCCTTCCATCCTTTCCCTTCCCACCTTCCTCTTCTCCCTGCATTTATCTTCTGCCTTCTTCCTTCCCCTCCTCTTGCCTGGCCTGGGGGAGCACTCCCTGACTCCTCCAGGTCAGGGGAGATCCCTGTACTATACAGTATGGAAGAGGATTCCTCACAGGTCACATTTTTTTGGGAAGAAGGACTCTGCAGCATGGCCTTGGGGAAGTTTCCTGGTTTCCTAGGGCCTCCGTGCCTCACCAGTGAGATGGGATGATACTGCCAATGTGCACGGGTGCCCCAGCCTGGCCCTTCTCTGCCTTGGACCTGGTTTCCCACCCAAGCTTCTGTGAAATGCAGGGCATGAGTGGGATCATCACTGAGGGCCCATCTGGTGGCCTGGCTCCTGTCACTCACTGTGGACAGGATCCAGTGACTCTGAAAGGGGAAAGTTTGAAGAGCAAAGAATAGCGACAGCATTAATGATTAATCTTGAGATTGCCAGGAGGCCCCTGGCCCAGGAGTTTGTCTGTGTCCTTTATCAGCTCTGGTCTGAGGAAAGAGGTTCTAGAGGGTTTTCCCTCCTTCTGTGCAGCAGCTTCTGTCCCTCCCTTTGAGGGGTGAGAGGGAGGGGGGCAGTGTTTCATCTTTCAGCCTTCTCTCCCTTGTTCCTGGCCCTAGGAGGGAGAGGAGGAAGTAGGAGCGGTCTGGCTTCCCTGTCATGAGTAAAGGGAGCATGGGGAGAGCAGGGGAGGTGAGTGATGTACTTAGCCTGGCCGTCTTCTTTCTGGTGTTCAGGCTTGCCCTGCCCTGTGAGGGGAGGGATGCTCAGCGGCCAGAGAATTCCAGTAGGAGGTGGCTTGGATGGCCCAGCCCTATGAGGGGCAGATAAGAGTCCCAGGGCTGTGTGGCTCCAAGAAGGGTAGGCTGTTCACACACCCCTGTGGGGGCTTACAGGAGGCAGGGGAACCTGCGCTGCTCAGGGCTGGTTGGGAAGGGCACAGGGACATCAGAGCTTCCCACTGTGGGCCTGAGCCAGCCGCTGGAGTGGGGCAAGTGCCCATCTCAGGAGCGGAGTTGCCTTCAGCCAGGGGAAGCAGAAGGGCTTTGGACAGTAGGGCGATGGCTGGAGGGTCTCTGCCCTCCACGCAGAGATGTAGAAAGTCTGTGAGCCCAGTGAGTCACTGCTCACTCCCGTGTGCTGACTGATGACGCCATCCTCTGTGTGCAGGAGCCACCGCTGCCTGGTGCAGCGATTCAGGGGAGAACATTGCTACTGTAGTCAGTTTCACTCCAGGCTCGGTGGCTGGGCTTATGAGACCTGAGGAGGGAAGGGGGAATGCTGTGCTATTGGGACCCTCCCTGAATCCCCTTACAGTCCAGGTATCTGTCACACATCCCATTCCTGCCAGGCAAGCCTCCAGGCTCTATATTGTGTGACCTTAGGAAGTATGTCTCCTTCTCTGGCCTCAGTTTCCACATCCACACCTTTAGAGGTGGGCTTTAAGGTCTATTTCAGGTCTGAAATGATGTGTCTGTAACTGATTCTTCCTAAGGAGGAAACTAGACATAGATATGTGGACGGGTGTAGTGGCGGGCCTGACCAGCCCCTGGAGGTGTGCATGGGGGTTCCCAATGGCGTTCCAGCCGGCTCTGAACTGATCATTCTTTGACCAGTAAGAGGGGGCACTGGAAGCATAGGGATGGAGTGCACCAGCTTTGGAGCCAGACTGCTTGGGTTTACTTCCCAGCTCTACTGGGGCCTTGCTGTGTGACTTTGGGGAAGTGGCTTACCCTCTCTGTGCCTCGGTCACCTCTGCTATAGAGTGAGCTAATGCTAGTAACTGTTTCAGGCAGGTTAAATGAGTTCACACAAGTTTTTTGCTTGGAAGAGTGTCTGGCACATACTGAGTATTTAATAAATGTTAGCCACTAGTAAATAAAAGTGCAGGAGACCTGCTGTTCCCATTTTGAATGTGACAAGGTGCCGTGGGGGTGGAGGTGACAGCAAGAGAGTGCAAAATGTCTGAACACAAAGTGGCGAGATACAGTATAAGCCTTACTGAGTGCCAGGCTATAGTACATACTCTATAGTTTATTTGTATTCATTTGCTGATGCCTGACAGTAGCATCTATGAGATAGACGTCACCATTATTCCCATTTTACAGATGATAAAAAGAAGGCACAGAGAAGTTAAGCAGTTTTTCCAAGCTCCTAAGGCTAAAACCGCTGGTAAAATGGTCCCAAGTCGGCCATACTAATTGCCAGGAGGTGAGTTTAATTGTCCTCAAAAGCTATCTGCCCCAACAAAGCCTGGACCCAAGAGAGAGTGCCAAGGAATATGGGGTGACCCACTTTCCCATCCTGAGCCACTTTTGTGGCTGGGCTGAAATCCATCCTCAGGGAGGGGAGAGTTCAACCCCGGGCTGCAGTGGTGGGGCCTGCCCTGTCCCTTGAGGGTATCACTAGTGGCTCGGGAGAGTCCAGAGGAGGAGAGGGCTGGAGTGGCCAACAAGGGGGCCGCATCTCAGAGGGACACAGCAGAGAAACACTGGGTTTGGGGCAGGCGGCCTAAGTCTGTAAACTCTGAGCGTTGTCCAGCAGGGGGCGGGGCAGGGTTGTGGTGGGGGCAGAAATGCCTAGAGGGGCAGAAGGGATTACCACCCAGAGAGGAGAGAGGCTGAGGGAGGTGATTGTGATCCCTGAAGTACCCTGTGGAGTCTAGGCCTGGGAACACCGAGGTTCTGTCTCTCCTCCTCTTTGCTAGCAGGGGTGTCTGTGTCCAGTTAGACAGGGAGTGGACTGTAATCGGGGGAGACTAAGAGAAGGTAACAGAATCAAGAACCCTGAGTCTAGTTCCAGAGGAGGTGCCCTACTGAGAGTGTCCCAGATCCCTTGCACTGGGTCACTGGGCTGGGGGCACACTTGTCTCTTGGTAAGCAGCCTTGTGATGAAGCAGAGGGCTGGGGGTGTGTCGGGGCTGGGGCCTCTGCTGGAGCTTGTCTTTAGCCCACTGCAGCTATAGCTGAGTTGCTGCCCTTGGCACAGCAGGGGTGAGGCCCCTGCAAGTCTGGGTGTCCCTGTGTGTGTGCACGCCTGTGCACACGTGTGCACACATGTGTTGTGATATACCTGCACCCATATCTGAATCCGAGTATATCTGATTTCCTCTCTATATCTGAATGCCTTTGCAGGGTGAGTGTAAGTGTGAATTGTTCTGTGTATCTACAGTCTGATTTGTGACATTTCTGAATATCTGAATTGCTGTGTTCTTGCATCTGCACATATCTTTGTTCTGTATGTGTGCCTCTGTCTCCGTGAAGGAGTGTGTGTGTGTATGTGTATGTGTGCATAGTTGCCTGTCATGGGAGTGTATGCTTCCACCTGTGTATGCCATCATGGGAGTTTTTATCAATACCTCCAAGTGGTGGCCCTGGGGATAAGTGTCTTTGTCTCTGTAGGGTTGACATGTCTTTATGCTCGTCTCTGTGGACCTGTTTCTGTGTATTTTTGTGTGTGTATGTCTGAAAGAGAGAAACAGAATCAGAAATCCACCAGTCCTCAAAACACAAACTCACTCTGTCTGCTTGCTTCCACCTGCTTCCCCACCCCACCAGAAGCTTTCAAAATCCTGGTTCCTCTGTGCCAGCTCCCTGGGTTCTAATAAAGGTTAAAACAGACTTTATAATCCTAACCATACATAAGCATCACCTGGAGAACTTTAAACAGCACTGCTGCCCAAACCGCAGCTGAGAGTTTCCAATTCATTTGGGTAGGTCTTTTTTGGGAAGCTCAGGTGACTCTAGTGGGCAGCCCAGGTTGCATACTTGGGTCAGAGGTTAGGACTTGCCAGGGAGGCAGTGAGCATCCACTGAGGTGTGGGGTGGGGACGCAGCCCAGTCCCGATGGGGGTAGTGTTGCTGCCATCTCAAGGTGTCGCTGAAAGCAAGGAGTTCTGTTTTCACCTTTTTGGCCTGAGGTTGTGGAAGGTACAGGGAATCAACCCCTAATCATGGAGGCTCTCTGCCTTGCAGGATTTCCCTGCAACCCTCTGCTGGCCTGGAAAGTCTGCCGAGGGTCGCTGGTGCCAGGCACTCCTCCATCACAGCCAAGCAAAGTCAGGAGGGTAGTCTCTGCAGGCAGAGCCTTGGGATCCCCAGGGCTGGTAGAAATGACCAAGCCCTTTGGGGGCCACCAGTGCTAGGTCACACCAGAGGCAGACAGTGGCCACCAGGCAAGCCTTGGGAGTGGTACAGAGATTGAAACCTGAGTGCCTGGCATAGATGGTGCCTCAGGGTACCCAGGAGTGCTGAGGTCAGGCAGTCTGCCCTGTCCTTCCTGGCCCACACCAAGAGGCTGGGCCAGTGTTGCCATGCCCCCCAGGCTTCTTGGAGCATCTCTTGGGGACATCTGAGGCCTCCCTCAGCATCTCTGAGTGAGCTCTGGTGCATAATATGGGGAGGTGGGGGCTCCCTTTTATTGAGCCCTCCTGAAGCTGGTTTAATTTCTCCTTTTTGGATGCTTATCTCCAGCTTGAGCTTGGAGAGGGCCTGTGGAGGCAAGGAGAGAGGGAGGGGACATGGTTAGGCAGAGAGTTAGGGACACAAAGGCCCCTGTGGTGCAGCAGCTCTGCCCCACTGGTAGGGGGTGTGCAAGGACTAATGGTTGGGATGCACATGAAGGATTTGCTTGGGCCCCCCACGGCCTCCTGGGCCAGGTACCTGTGGGTTAGCAGTGCCCTGATATGGGCCTACTCAATCTCTTTTATAATAATTTAATAGTAATAATTTAAAAATAATCATAACCATTGTATGGCTGTGCCAGAGCCTATATAGCAGTGCCTGTTGATGGATGCTTTGCTGCCCCATTTTTTATCGTTGATGCTATTTTAAAGGATGCTGTGGCAAATATGCTTGCATATGCTTCTTTTTGTCCAAGTGCAGACATTTCTCAGATGCAGAATTGCTGTGTTGTAGGGTATCTGTAGTAATGATCAAGTTTAGAAGCAGAGTATGCTCTTCCCCTGGGAGGGTGCTCTTGCAGACTCCTTTCTCAACTCCCTGTAACCTGTCTGTCTGGTCCCCACCAGTGGCTCCAGTCCTTGCAGACCTGCTTCCTTGGAGCTCCAGTAGGTCTGAGGCCTGAGCACACACTTCAGCTGTCACTGTGTTTCCCGTGTCATGGTTCAAGGCTTCATCCTGCAATAGAGTGAGGTAGGGCAAAAAGAGGGTGTAATTGTTAGGTGTAATTCCCAGGCAGCTGGAACAAAGAGGCCCTTTCAGAGGGTAAATTAGCTGGAAGGTGGCTTCCCTTTGGCGTTAACAGTCTGGAGCTAGGTGAGCCCTCCAGGCAGGCCTGGTGGCTGGGCTCCACGAGGTCACTTGGCAATCCTGTCTCCTCTCATAGTGTTGCTGCCTATACCCCCAGATATTCTTCATGTCCACACGGTCAAATTGGGGTTTGGCATTTGGGAAGGGTGAAAGAGCAGGAGCAGAGATCATGCGACACCCTCATACACAGAGGGTGCAGATGTGGCCACATGCTGCCACCCACATTCCATAAGTGCTAATAACTTCATCATGTACACACGCCTCCAAGCAAGATAGACCAGGAAGTATCTCTAGATGAGCATGCACGTGGCCAGCTAAAACTTTGTCACTGTGGAGGAGGGTGAACATGCAAGGATTTGGGGAGAAAATCCCTCTAGTGCCAAGGAGAAAGCCATTCCAGACCATGCAGGAGACTGCTGGAGCTGAGCCAGTGTGTGCCCACAGTATCCCCAGCACCGAGCACAGACTGAGTGCCTAGCACATGTTTGCAGGGCAGATGAAGAAAGAGCAAGACAGATGCAGGCATGGAGGTGGGGTTATCCTTGGAGGCCGAGAGCCATGCTGCAGGGAGCTGGGGGAATGAGGAAGGCAGGTGGTCTCACCCCTCCCCAACCCTGCCACAGCACTGGGCCCACAGGATTCACACCTTTCCTTCTTCTCTAGCACGGAGACACATTGGGGCTGACCCACCGCTGCTGTCAGTGGGAAGCCAGCAGTGCTGGCCAAGAAGCATCATGGCTGGTGTCGTGCAGGTCTCCCTGGCTGCTCTCCTCCTGCTGCCTATGGTAAGAGCCCAGGAACATCTCCTCTGGGAGCCCCAGGCTCACCTGAGCCCCTGCTCTAGAGAACTCATGTCTTTTGTGTGCCCTCAGCTCAACTATTCACTCGGCTGGTATTTCTGCCAACACCACCACTGGGCCCCCCAGCGCCTTTGTGTAAATCAGAAAAGATGTACCTTCCTCAAGAACCTTCATTGATTTGACCAGAATTTATTATAAAATGTACAAATCTTTCTGATGGTACTGTGCGGCAACATTTAGAGTTGCACAGTACACAATCTGCTCAGCTGAATGCAGGATCTCTGGTCAGGGCTGCCGAAGGCTCTTTTGATTTTCTCATCACCAGCCCACCAAGCCCTCCCAGGATAGAACTCAGAAGACTGCCCTCTGCGCAGATCTCTCCCTGAGCAAAGGTAGGGATGGGGAGTGAGCAGAGGAGGACTCCCAAGTACTGGTCCCATCACTCGACCTGAGAGTTCAGAGTAGCAGTGGGTGAGGCTTTCCTCAGGACCCTGGGTACCAGTTCTGTCTCTGCCCTGACTCACTGTGTGGTCAGACAAGCCTATCCCTTTCCCTGGAAACTGCCTGCACATCTGTGAATAGTAGGGACTGGACTCCGTCCCCAAACATGGCCCTTGGCAACTCAAATGCCTTGTGACTGCCTCCTCACTTGCTGACATCCCCCTGAGAACCATCCCTGCCCTGGGGGTTTGAGTTAAAGTGACAGCATTTGGAAGCAGCTGTCATGGTAGCAGTGCATGGGCTGTGAAGTTACTTGTCCTGAACTTGATGCCCATATCTGCTGTTAACTAGCTGTGTGATTTTGGGCTGGAGTTTCTTAGTCTCTCTGAGCCCCCGTTTTTTCTTCTGTAAATAAGGGTGGTGAATAGTCCCCACTAAATGGCACCACTGCTCCTTAGCCTGCAACTGCTGGGGGCACCTTCTCCCTGAGCCCCTGGAGAAGACGAACAATGAGATTTCTCCGCCCGACTTCTCCCTACCCCTTGTTTTCTCCCCTAAACTGCAGTTGTGGCCTTGTGGCCCCTGGAGTCAGACCTCCTGGGTTTCAGTCCTCGCTTTTCAATCTACTGAGCCATATGACTCTGAGCAGGTGACTTAACATCTCTGTATTTAAGTTTCCACATCTATAAAATGGAAAATGATAAGAGTAGTACTTCATAGTACTCTCCAGACCCGTATACACGCACACACATGACAGTCAGGATAATGCATGCACAGAGTAAAGTGCTGTCTATGCTTCCTATTATTATAAGATGTGGAAACTGAGACCCAAGGAGGGAGTGGGACCTGTCCAAAGCCACACATTGAGTTGGTGACTGAGAAGAGTCCTCATAGTATCTCTCAAGGTGAATGCCAGGGCCTCTGCTGGCCCTGACATCTATTGTCACCTTCCTCTCTGGTTCTGCTCCCTACTCCCCCCAGGACACTGCCTCGTGGGCTTTGGTAGGAGGGCTTGCAGGCAGGCCTCTGTGCCCGCTCCCACCATCCGTCCTGTGTTCTCCCACAGGCCCCCGCCATGCATTCTGACTGCATCTTCAAGAAGGAGCAAGCCATGTGCCTGGAGAAGATCCAGAGGGCCAATGAGCTGATGGGCTTCAATGATTCATCTCCAGGTGAGCCGGGCAGCAGGGAGCATGCCATGTCCCCAGTGCCAGCTTGTTAAACTGTTTTCCTGTCCTCAGGCCCACTTAGCAGAGAGTGGTCAAGGCTATGGGTTTCTGGGACCTTCAGAAAGCCCTCCAGGATACTGATGTCCTGGATCTGCTCTGGGCAATGATGCTGGGGTCACCCTCCTCAAGGCTGGTGTGCCCTGGATGCCTCGCGGCTGTTCTGGGTGACTGGACATGGCTGCCTTCTCTCCCACAGGGGCTGGGATAGCACTGGTGCCTGGGCTGAATAGTGGCTGTCAAGAGCTTGTTAGCAGGCAGCATGGGCCTGGTGGCAGCAGGGACACAGCTGTTGCCTGTGGCTGAGCTGTAAAGTGCTTGGTCAACCCAGGGCAGGTAATGTGGGGTCTTTTCCCACCTCCTCTGCTCATTCCATCAGCAGCCAGAGAAGAAGCAACAGCAGGAACTGCAGTCCTGAAGGCTCGGGTACAATGCTTCTCCTGGAGCTGCCTTTGAGGAGGGTCCTGCTTCTCTGTGCTGGAGGAAGCACACATTGCAGGACACTGAGCATTCTTAGCCTCTCCCATTAAATGCCCATGATGTCCCTCACCACAATGACAACCACAAAATGCCTTCTAACAGTTCAAATGTCCCAAGGGAGTGGTATGACCCCTGGTGAGAACCAGTGGCCCCATTGAACCCCTCCTCTGCCAAACTCCCCATTGTGCAGATGGGAAGCTAAGGCACATAAAGCAAAAACACCATCAGGTTTTGGCCTCCGGGGAAGTTGGGGATTTGGGGGAGGGGGCATCATAGAGCCCTTGCCAGCCCCACTTTTGCCTCAATCGTTGGAGGACTGGCTCCATGCTGCCTAAGGCCAGAGGGATTCATTTTTCCTTCTGGATCCTCCTGGCTCCTCTGAGCACCATCTGTTTAAACACTTGATTAATCTGCGGCCCAGTTAAATGTAATGGTCCCACTGGACAGAGCTCCCCGGCCAGTTGCTTCTCAGTGAACATTAACTGGTGAGGGAGCTACTTTGGGTCATGCTGGCCTTTGCCTCCAGCTGAGCTCTTGCTCAGCCCTAACCAAGGCTGAACGTGGGTTCGGGGCCCCATCAGTGAGGGAAACTGAGGCAGGGGTTCCAGAAGGGAACATAGTTGGAGGAGGCCAAACGAATATCCCAAGGATGTCTGGTCCAAGTCTCTGTTTGGACTTGGGAATGCTGAGTCCGGAGGGAAGGGATGGTGTGGATCACATGGAGGATCAGGCTTAGGTGGGTCTGGAACCCGGGTGTCCTGCTCCAACCCAGGTCCATTTTTCCTGCATCTCATGTCTCAGACACATCTGGGGTTGAGCAATAAAAGCATTCAGGAGGGAAGAATAGAGGCAGGGGCTGGGGTGGGACAGGGACCTCGGGGTAAGCTGTGTGCAGTTTAATCGCACACCTGCTTGTTGAATTCTGGGCTGAGAAGTCAAGATAGGCCCGTTCACAGGGATGTCGTGGCAGAGACAAGGGAGACGGATGCCAGGCTGCACATACAGCATCCTGGGAGGGGCCAGGCCAGTGCTGGAGAGGAGGTCTCACCCGCCGGCATGCTCTGGAGAGGAAGAGATGAGTTCTCTTGGGAAGGATTCATATATTGAAAATGGTTCCTTGCTTATCAAACCTGGCTGCACATCAGAATCACTGGGGAACTTTCAGAAAAATGCACTCAAGCCACAATCCAAACCAATTAAATCAGAAGCTTGGGTCTGTCATAGTCACCATAGATTTTAAAAGCTCCCCAGGCAATTCTAATGAGAAGCTGCTGTTGAGAACCCTTGAGTTCAGCCCAAGGGATAGGTAGGCATTTGAAGGCAGGGGAGAATTGAGGGCTAGATGAATGGGTGAACACTGTAGGCTGAGGAAACCACAGGAGGCGGGAGCCTGGTGTTTTTGGCAGTCTTCAGTAATGTCCTGTATTTGGAACTCAGAATTGGAGCAGATGGTTGGGCTATTGAGGGGGCATGGCAGAGGGCCCAGGGTGTGTATTTCATGTCCATTGCTGCTGGAGTTGAAGGTGGGGGAAAGCAGTGGCTGGCTCCTATGGAGCTGGCATCTCTGCAACTGCCCCAGGGGCTCCACTCACCCTCCTCAGGGACCCTGTGAGTCAGGGCTGTCCACAGGAGGTTGGGGTGTGAAGAATTCTCCAAGAGGTGAATGAATTGCTCTCCTTTAATCCTGTCCAGATGGGAGAGGAGGCTGTACCCTCTCACAGTCTGCCTAAGGAGAGAGTCCCTCATCTCTACCTCTCCCCTCCCTTGAGTCATAGGATAGGACTTTATAAAACAGAGCTGAGCTAATTAAGCAGAAGCAAAGGGCACCTATTAGGTGAGAAAGAGGAAAAGACTAAAGGCCCAGCTGGACCACCAAGTCCATGGCTCTTTCCTGCTCTGGGCCTCAGGATCTCCGCCTTTAAACTGAGTGGGATGGAGTGCATCATGTTAATGACCAGGCCCTCTATAGACTTCCTGTGTGCCAGGCTCTGTGCCAGTACTTCATTCTACCACCACAGCAGCGGGGCAGGGGGAGGGGTGTGGGTCTGTTATTACCCCTATTTCATAGATAAGGTAACTGAGGCCCGAGGAGGTTATGTACTTTGCTTAAGGACATAGTCTATTAAGAGGCAGAGGTGGAACTTGATCTCAGGCAGCCTGTACCCTTGACTTCTGGGATGCACTGCCTCTGAAGAGTGACACGCTCCGAGTCCCAGCACCGCTCCCCTCGCCCCCACCGCCCAGCCACAGCACCAGATATGGAATCTTTGAAGGGCTCTTAACACCATTAATTTTCATGTCTGAAAAATAGAGGAAGAGTAATACCTACCACATAGGATTATTGCATTAAGTGATAAAAGTCTGTGAGAAGTGTGAAGGACAATGTATGACATTTGCTAAGCGCTTAACTAAGATGTTGTAGTTATTAGGAGCTGTCATCCGACAGTGTTGGGGGTTTCCAGGGCTCCCACCTTTTGCTAGATCCCAGTTCTTCTGGGGAGTAGAGAGATCCTCTCTAGGAAGCAGGTGAGTGCTGCTTGGAACAATCCTGGAAGAACAGCAGAGAGGTTGGGGACCAGATCTGGGCTTCAGAGGGCAGATTGAGAGTACGGGAAGATGGAGAGAAGTGCTTGGCTGGGGAAAGGTAGAAAGGGGGCACGAGTAAGGCAGGTGGGCATTGGGCTCTCTGTCTCTCTCTCAGACACTCATGCATATGCACGCGCGCGCGTGCACACACACACACACACACACACGAACTCATTTAACTCTCACAAACCTATAGGCTTGGTAGAGTTTCACCTCCATTTAACAGGTGAGGCTGCTCAGACACAGAGCGGTTAGGTTGCTTGTCTCTTATCTAGTAAACCTCTGAGCCGGGAAGGTGGAACCAAAGTGTGCAGGTGGATGGTTCTGGAGTCTGTGCCTTCACTCCTGGGCTACATTGCTGCTCAGAAGACGAATGAGGAGACACCCTAGCTATCAGCTTTCCCCTTGCCAGGGTGAGAGGTCATATAGCAGAGGAGGCTACAGTGAGGATGGAAAGAGGCCTTGGGAGAGAGGGGCCCTGAAATGTGCTTGAGGTCTGCCCCTTTCTTAGCTATGAAAAGGCCAAAGGGTGTTTATGTTTCTAAGGCCTGGGATAGAATGTCTCGGCTTCTAATGACTTGCTTGGGAAGGAGAGGGGCAGGCCAGGGGGAGGGGAGGCCCCTGGAAGAGACTGCCCTGCAGGCTGAGGTTGGAGGACTCTCCTCCAGCGGGCCTCAAGTTCTTGGAGAGCATTGACCTTGCTGTCACCCACCAGGGGAGGCCTTAATTTTTCCCCATTGCCCTTTAAGAACCTCTAGCCTGCTCTTAGGGGTGCCCTGGCTGGAGCTGGGCTTCTTGGCTGCAAGTTCAAAACTCTTGGGAAAGATAGGCCTTCACACCTCTCATCACACCTGCAGCACTGTAGAGCCCCCAGGAGCATTTAAAGATGTTGATGTACAGGCCCCTCTCCAGACCAAAGTCTTCAGCATTTGGGTGTGTGTGGGGGCTCCATGTAGTGTTAAAAGCCTCCAGGCAATTCTAAAGTGTATCCAGGTCTGAGAACCACTGGCCAGAGCACAGCATCTACCAGGTCACTCATCCCATCTTAGGCAGAGAGCAACCTCTCAGGGCACAGACAAACCAGGCTGGGGAGCTCACCACTAGCCACGTCAAATATGAGTGTACCAAAGAATCGACGTCTGTGCATTGTTATTAATCTGTGCCAGCCCTCCTGCTGCATTCTGTTTCCTGCGCCTTCGCTGCCTGTGGGGCCCCAAGCACACACACCATGCACAGAACACTGGCCAAAGCTCAGCTCATGTCCTTGAAACACACTTGAAAAAGGAAACCTGACAGCTTGGTCCAGTGCCTGTGAGTAAACTCACAACAATGTCTTTTATAGAGTTTAACATACTTGTATATATTTTGTGTGTATGTATTAAATCTAGTAACATGAGTCAATTGGAACAGGAGCCTTGATCTGTTAGGTGGATTATGTCTGTGGCAGTGTGTGTGTGGCTGGGGGGATGCAGGGAGGTTCCAGGAAGCACTGGTTTCCTTCAAGCCCTTGCTCCTCACTGGTCCTGGGACCTCCACCCCAAAGAGAACTTAGAATGGTGCCGTGCAGAGTGGCTTTCAGAGTGGTGGCCAGGACGCAGATATGCCAGGGGTAGCAGGCAGGGTAGCAGGCAGCTCAACGAGGGTGAGAAATGGAGCCCAGAGAGGTGGCCGTGGGGAGTGAAAGCAAGCTTGCAGCCTGGCTTGATTTGCAAAATCCTTGGCATGTTTTAAAGGTGTTTATTGAGGAGAGGAGGGGGTTTGGAGATGCAGCCGTTTTGTCCCTCATTCCAAGTCCCCGAATGCTAATGGGACTTGAGCCAATACCAAGTTGGCTTTGTCATATGATGCCCAGGGAGGCTAAGGCCAGAGGTGGTGGTCAC